AGCACAGAAGTCCAATAACAAAACACCACTTGGATTTAGATCTGGGAGGCCGTTCTTCCCAATCATGCCCCTCCAGGTGTCACTGTCGCTGCCCACATGGGCGTTGAAGTCCCCCAACAGGACGATGGAATCCCCGGGAGGAGCACTGTTCAGTACCCCTCCCAGTGCCTGCAAAAAGGCCGGGTATCCTACACTGCTATTCGGCCCGTAGGCCGAAACAACAGTGAGACACCTATTCCTGACCCGAAGGCGCAAGGAAGCGACCCTCTCGCTCAGTGGGGAGAACTCCCACACACGACTGGCAAGATGGGGAGCTATAAGTAAGCCTACACCAGCACGCCGCCTCTCACCGCGAGCTACAGAGTAGAAGAGAGTCCAGCCTCTCTCAAGGAGTTGGGTCCCAGAGCCCAGACTGTGTGTGGTTCTCACACCATCAGGATCAAAGCATCAGGGTGTTGTGTCCAGAGCCCTGCTGTGACGGTGTGAATTTTCTCACATGCAGTGGTTGCGACAGCTCTCGGAGGGATGTAAACGAGGGAGATCAAGTGACTAAACTCCCTCGGCAGATAGTATGGCCGGAGGCTAACGGCTAATAGCTCCAAGTCCAGACATGTCCGTGGTTACACCAACGGTTATTAACGTATATGATGAGTCCCCCATCTTATTGGGAAGAGAGTTTACGTTACCCATGATAACGGAGGGAATCGATGGTTTGAAACGCCTCCGGTTATCCGCTATCTTCGCCTTTAGTTTAGCCCCGGCTCTACATCCTCAGTACCTCCTCTTGAGCTGTACCGGTATGTTGTGCCGGTTTCCGTTCTTACTTGTCCTCAGATCCAGCAGCTCGTCCCTTGAATAAACGAGAGAACTGGCTCCGGTTTCCGGTTTAGGATTGCAGGTATGTTGGAAGAACTTAATTTATTATCATTGCTTCATGCTGTACTGTCGCTTTAAGAAACTGTTTGCTTCTCATATTATAATCTAGTGTGCTCAAGACTGATGGAGAAATTACCAGACACAGTCACACCCCCATTCACACCCACCTTCTTACTCCATACCCATTCATATACTCACACACGATCACATGATATGTAATCTGATACTTTTATAAACTCAAAAAAGTGTTGAGGAAGGGTGTGGCTACTCGGAGTTGATGAGGAAGCTGCCAGAAGAGTAAGCTGCACTCTCCCCTTGCAAGTAAAAAAATCAAGACGTCGTTTGTGTTGTTACTTTGTCGTCATATATGTTAGAATAAACCTGACAAGGTATCCATAGGATACATTTAGTGATAATGCTCCGTGAAAGGAGTAAAGAAAAAGTAGAGAAAGTACAAGTGAAACTTAAAAGAAAAGTTGGTACTGCAGAGTGACCAGAAGGCTGCTGCAGGCAGCATCAGCTCCATCCATTGTAAATGTGTATATATATAATGTACTGTATATATGTGGATGTGGGCATATGTATATGTGTATATATGTATTGTATATGCATAACTAATATACTGTGTATAAATAAATATATTACTAATATCTATACTATATAATAGGACATATATAATGTATAGTACCCCTAGTGATAATGGCTGCATAAATATAAGTATATATGTATACATATATTTTTATATATGTAACACTAATTTAGCTTATTAATAACAATAGTATAATAAAATATAATAATAAATAATAATTGAGATTATAATCTACAACACCACACACAGTAACAATAATGACAAACGAATCTATTAACACTAACCTATCTATCTACTACTACTAACCTACTAATCTACTAACATCCAATGTTCAGGTTTCTCAACAACTTTTTGTATTTGTATTTTGTTGCATTTATTGTACTTTACTTATCTGTGTGTTTTTACTGTTGTCTTTGATGTACTGTGCTGCTACTGGAGCCTTAATTTCCCGAGGAGAACTCCCAAGGGATTAATAAAGTTCTATCTGTCTATCTTTCTCATGTGATGAAGGTTCTGGAGCAACTGGTGTTAGCCAAGCTGAAGCCACAGGTAAGTCAATTTCTTGACCCTTTGCAATTTCAGTCCCAGTTAGGAGTTGACAATGCTGTCATTCACCTGCTGCAACAAGCTAATTTGCATCTGGATGGTGGTGGAAGCACTGTGAGGATCACATTCTTTGACTTCTTCAGTGCTTTCAACACCATCCAACCACTGCTGGTGGGTGAGAAGCTGTGGGTGATGGGTGTTGATTGAATGTCATTGAATGCAATGATCTCCTTGAGCACTGACTATTTGACAGGCAGACCACAGTTTGTTCGTATGAGCAGTGTCTTGTCTGACGTTGTGGTCAGCGATACAGGAGCTCCACCTCCTTTACAACTCCAAGTCATGTCTTCTGCAGAGGTTTTCTGCTGACTCAGTCGGGTGTATGAGAGGGTGAGGAAGGTGAGTACAGAACACTGATTAACAACTTTGTTGAGTGATCTGAACAGAATCACCTGAGGCTGAATGTCAACAAGACCAGAGAGACAGGCGTATAGGATAGGATAGAGAGATGGTGACTGACTTCAGAAGGAAGAGGACACCGTTTCAACCACTATGGATCAAGGATGAGGTGGTGGAGGAGGTTGAGGACTACAGGTACCTGGGAGTGGTGATCAGCAACAGACTGGATAGGAAAGCTAACACCAGGGATGAGCAGACTTTATTTCCTGAGGAAGCTGAGATCTTTCAACATGTGCAGCAAGATGTTAAAGCTCTTCTATCAATCTGTTGTTGCCAGTGCCATTTTCTTTGTGGTAGTGTGCTGGGGAAACAGCATCAGAGCCAGCGACACTAACAGACTCAACAAAATCATCAGGAAGGCTGGTTCTGTTCTTGGTCTCAGACTCGAGGCCTTTGAGACTGTTGTGGAGAAAGGGACACTGAACAATGTCTGGTAATATCAACACTTTTTTTTCTATTTGGACAGAAAATGCAGTATTTTTAGATACATATAACCGACTGCGATCAGTGTATTCTCCCATTCAAAGTGTGAAGAGTTTTCCCTGACACGGCCTGCAGAATAAACTCACTCACCCTAATTTTGAGCAATCAATAGGTGCTGTATGTGTTCAGAGCTCATCATCTTCTCCGAGCAGACATCCCTGTAGATCAGCAGCAGCTGCTCGGTTTGTATTTATGCGAATGCTGTATCATCGTACAGCTCAGTGGATACCCTGATGTGCAGGTAACAGTGAGATGCTCTTAAAGGCTGCTTGTATTTATTAGGGAATATTTGCTAGTGTTGTTGCATGTTATGTAAAACCTGAAACGTCTGCACAATATAAAATCACATACAGCAACAAAACAAGTCAGAATTAGGGATAAGAAGGGAGGGGAAACCATTTTATGACTAATAAGCAAATGAGAGAGAGAGAGGGAGAGCGAGAGAGAGAGAGTCTGTGAATGGTCCAGCAATCGAGTCAAGCCCCACGGGGAATGGCGTGGATCTGCAAACTCACACTGCAGCAGTAAAGAGAGGATCAGCAGAACACATTGCACACTTACAAAATTGGATCATGCTGAATTTATACCTGAAACTCGAATGAGAACTAAAAACAATACTGGGGTAGCTATGAAGGACACAAAACAATGCAAGAAATTTGTAAGAGTAAAAAAAAACAGTTTACTGGTTGAAGTCAGGTCTGCACAAAGACACCCAAAACAACACACTAAACCCATTTATTTGCCTCTGAAATGAGCTCAATACTGATGGGTCAGGTAGTCAGGTGTTGTTCTACCTTGAGCAGGAATAAGATTCAATGTAGCATTCGCTTGCATGGATAAAATAACTACAGAAGTCCAGTCAACCTATAATCTGCACAACAAAAAGCACATTATTGAAACAGTCAACAATAACAGGCCACAAAACTGGACAGACAGTAATATCACTGAAGGAGTCAATCTGTCAGAAGCACCAAGCAGAGCAGGACTGTGACGTTTGGACTCCAACATCTTCAGTAGCAGCATGCAGCATTTTATTTGTTCCTCTCACATAATTTGGTTGACACATATAAACACTGCAACAACCACTTAATGGTCCTTAAGGAAGAAATTTAGTTTATGTGATCCTGTGGTTTATATTTTCTATACAATAGCCTATATCGAAAAATACATGGTTCCATATGGGTTCAGTTTTGGTTCCTGCAGAGCTCCTTGCAACGTTAATATTTTCCCCGTTTTCTACTTTTGATTTCAAATGTTTCTGGTCCTTAATTCTCTGAACCTCCAAAAGTTTGCCAACACGATACAAAAAACATTGGACATCTTGCCTAACACCAGTGAGAGCTCATGTGCCGTTAGTGAAAACCACCGTTTTCTTGCGTATTTCCCCTGTCAAAAATAATGAAATAAAACCAAAACAAACCAAGCAGCAATCAACTTATTTAATATTGTCTATCAAATGTCTGTATCCATGCCACCCCAAAACAACAGAACCAGGGTGTTTCCAAGACCATTTAAAACGGTTGGGCCACAACATTAACATCTGATTAAAACCATTTCAAGTTCTTAGTTTGCTGGAAGAATCTCAGTAAAACTTTTATTTTACAGCTTTACAGCTCATCACCACGGTGCGCAGAGTGTGTAGTTCTGTGTGTCCTTTAACTGGAGTGCACTCTTCTGCTGACTCTGTGACTTTTCCCTCCCTCCTATATAAACGCGGAGCCCCATCATCTGCAGTCACTTCTCCACTGACTCGGTCAACATGAGTTTCACGGCAGAGCATCACTTCTTCGGGCCGACTTCGTACCGCAAGGCTCGGCCGGTGTCCGTGTCCTCCAGCGGTTTCCGCTCACAGCGCCGCCACCTCACCTATAGCCAGCCGTCCACCGCTGAGGGTCTGGACGCCTACAACGGAGACGTGAACAGGAAGAGCGAGAAAGAGATTCTGCAGGCTCTCAACGACCGCTTTGCCGGTTACATAGATAAGGTGCGCAACCTGGAGATGCACAACCACAATCTGGAGGCAGAAGCCGCGGCTCTGCGCCAGAGCCAGGCATGGCGCGCCTCCATTGGGGAGCAGTACGAACAGGAGCTTTGTGACCTGAGGAACACCCTGCAGCAGCTGACCGGAGAGAAAGCCCGAACGGCTCTGGAGCATGACCACCTGGAGGAGGACATTCAACAGCTAAGGGCCAGGCTTGAAGATGAGGCACGTAACCGAGAGGAGCTGGAAGCTGCAGCTAGAGCCATGAAGAAGTATGCCGAGGAGTGTCGTCTGGCTCGCCTGGAACTGGACAAGAAGCGGAGAGCCCTGGAGGAGGAGGCAGCCTTTCTCAAGAAGAACCACGAAGAAGAAGTGTCCGAGCTCCTGACTCAGATTCAGGGAGCGGAGGTGAGCTTCGACATGAGGGACTCTCTGAAGGCTGACGTTACCAGCGCACTGAGGGAGATCCGAGCACAGCTGGACAGTCACGCATCCAAGAGCACCACGCACGCCGAGGAGTGGTTCAACGGTAAGGAGTCCAAATGTACTTCAAGTCAAAATAAAAAAGTAAAAACAACAAACTTAATGATAATATCTGTTGCGCACAGTATTTCAAACAGTATTTGCTCTGTCCATGATGTTAAAAGTCACCAACCTCTCCCCTGCTCCTACTGTGACGTGGGGAGCATTTTTTTCTTATAAATATAGATTGTCAGCACTCTTCCCGCAGTAATTAGAAATTCTTGTTTGCAGATGTTTTAAAACCTGGAGTCGATGCCTGTATAATACCAACAATAGTTTGACCATACCGCTCATGTTGTTTGCACGGTAATGTCACTTGGTGTTGTGGTGCAAAACCATGTCCTGCTATTAGCAACATGTTTGCATGATGCACTGAACATGTATACATAAGAAACCGATGTATAATGTAAAAGCCCTATATCAAACAATCATCTGTATCATCCAGAATCTATAGGCACAGTGATGAATAATTTTGGAGCCATTGTTTTTAATTGAGGCAAGAAAAAACAACTTAAGAGGAGTATATATCACTTCATAACTTCATAAATGAGAAACAACAGCTTTTAACACAACGCTGTGCTGTGCCTTACAATGGGAAGGGTCAGAGCAGATTTTATTTTGGGAGGACAAGAGACGTTTCCTGCAACAGGGATCCGTGTTAAGAAAATAAAAGCTTTTGCCCTTTCAACTTAAAATAAAACCTCCACAACCATCATTTGAGGGGGAAATCAGCAATTGTTATGAGCCTAGGTGGCGCTAGAAGGCTCAGCTCCTGCTCTTACCTTATGATGACATGTTTATGTAATTCCTAAAAGTGTAGCTGATCCATATCAAAACCAAGTACATCTAAAATGAATCAGGATAGCAAATTCAGAGTAAACTAATAGTTTGTGTAGCCTCGTGATAATAGTGTATCTGTACTGGGGAGATCTCATTTAAGAATAAGATAAGCATGCCTTTATTGTCTTTATACTTTCAGTGTAACGGAATTGTAGCCATTCCTAATACAGTGCAAGAAGCAGTACCAGTTGTACGTGACTGAAATTGCACATATAACAAGGTAAAGTGTGGCGCTTTGGCCCAGAGGCAATGTCTCTGTCATTGGTGTGGAACCCCAGGGTTCACCTCCTGGGCAAGTTCAAATCCTGGTTAGGGCAGTTGGTACCTTCCAGTGGACTCACCACCTGCAGGAAGGTTTGGGGGGTTGGTATGGTGCAATGTGATTTGGGTGGCAACTGCTGCCCCTGCGACCCGGTAACGGATAAGTGGATGAAAATGGATGGATGGATGGATGGAACAAGGTAATGTACAGATTATTGTGACAGTGATACATTGGTAGCCGGAGAGAGTCTGGTCAGTGCATGTGAGAGTTCAGGGTTTAGTGAAATTATTTGGGCACCATATTCAAATACGAACAAAACTTCTAAAAAAATATAAGTGCTCTGAAAAGTCGATTTATACCACATATGTATGACATTAAACCTCCTCCTACAGAAAAGGTTTCACAATAAGTTATTCCACTTGTGTTTAACATTTACAACTTTTATACATTAGTGTATGAAGAGAAACCACTCCCTGTTTCTAGAAGGACGTGAGCACGGTTAGCGTTACTCCTTAAGGTTTACCAGTGAAGGAAGTAACAGTCAGTGTTTTGTTCTTTTTGTACCACATGCATTTTTATATATTTATTTTGTTGCAATGATTGATTTAAATGTTTTTAAAAGCATAAAGTCAAGGTTATTGGGAACAGAGGGCAGTGGATACACCATCACCATACTACAGTGTGGTAAGATTAATTGCACCAATAGTGTATCTATCTATGACACCACCGTTGAAGGCCGAGTAAGGTTACATGCAAGCAGCAGTTTAATGACATGTCAGTCTACTAAATGGGCTATGAATTGTCACTTGCGGTCCGCAATTGTTTACATGCTGACTTGATGGACTCAGTAAAAGGTCCAAACTGAGCGACCTTCCCTGATGTGTCCAGCTGACTGCAGCACTGATGCTCATTCAAGTTTGGACATGAGGAATGAAGCTGAGTCAGACCAGTGACTGACAGTGGTCACAGTCAAGGTCACTTGTTTCCCAAGTTTCTCAAAAGCCCCAAGTAGAGACAGAAAACAGCTCAAATTTCCTGGGGGTAAAAACAAAGGCCAATGTATTTCCTTCAGTGGCTAAATAATTTTATAAGTATCATACAGTGGTATGAAAAAGTTTGGGCACCCCTGATCATTTTCAAGATTTTCTGTAAATCCTATAAACTTCATTTCACTTCTTAAATATCACTGTGTCTGTTTGCTATACGATATATTTAATTGAAATTGCTGTTCCGAACAACCAATGATCCATAAAGGAAAATCTTGAAAATGATCAGGGGTGCCCAAACTTTTTCATACCACTGTACATTCATTGTGTCTCCAATCCCTGTAGTGCGTATGGATCACCTGTCTGAAACTGCGAGGTCTAACCAGACTGCAATCCGCACGATGCAGGATGAGATTGCAGACTACCGTCATCAGCTCCAAAATTGCACTATTGAGCTGGAGACCCTCCGAGGAACCAAGGAGTCATTGGAGAGACAGTGTGTGGAGAGCGAAGACAGACACCATGATGATCTCAACTCACTACAGGCATAAATACATCACTCATCCTTTAAGAAGAAACCCATTAAGCGCATTGGGCTTTTTATAGATCAAAGTTATATATCTCCCCTGAAAGATCGTCTTCGTGTTTTATTTTACAGGAGACCATTAATCAGCTGGATAACGAGCTGAAAACCACCAAATGGGAGATGGCCAGCCAGCTAAAGGACTACCAGGACCTTCTGAATGTGAAGATGGCCCTGGATATTGAGATTGTAGCTTACAGGTTGGACAGGGGTCAATTTGATTGACTCCTTTGCTTTTTAATGAGATGTGGTTTTACTCCATACTGTTTGTCTTGAAAACAGGAAGTTGTTAGAAGAAGAGGAGAAACGCTTTGTGCTGGGAGGAGGTGTGTACTCCTACCTGGAAGGCAGACTCTCTTCTCACCTGAAGATGAAAGGAGAGGAGATCTCAGACACAGTCATAGTGGAGGAACAGACAGACGAGACCCAGGTGACAGAAGTGGCCAAGGAGGCAGACAAGGAGGAAAAAGAAGAAGAGGAGGAGGAGGAAGAGGGAAAAGAAGAAGAAACTAAAGATGAGGGAGAGGAAGAGGAAGGCCAGGAGAAAGAAGATAAGGAGGTTGAGGAAGAGGTAGAGGAAGAAATAAAAGAAGAAAAGGAGGAGCAGATGACAAGAAGAAGCAGATGACAAGAAGGAAAAAGTGGAGGCAGATGAGTCCGAATCACCAGAAAAGGCTTCAAAATCCCCAGAACCAGAATCTCCTGTCAAATCCCCAGAATCTAAATCTCCACAAAAATCACCAGAGTCCAAATCACCAGCTTCTAAATCACCTGCTAAGTCCCCTGCAGGAGATGATTCAAAGTCACCTGCACCAAAGTCACCTATGTCAAAATCCCCACCCAGTAAATCCCCTGAATCCAAATCTCCTCGCCCTAAAACCCCAGAACCAAAGTCTCCAGAGGAGAAACCCACCCCTGCCAAAGATAGTCCTAAAACTGAGAAAAAGGAGGAGAAACCTCAGCTCAAGGAAGATAAGAAAGAAAAAGAAAAGCCTGTAAAGGAGGAGAAGATGGAGACACCCAAGGTGAAAGACCCAGAGGAGAAAGCAGACAAAGATGACTCAAAGGAGAGCAAAGAGGAAGCTACAAAAAAGGATGAAGCTTCAAAAACTGCTCCCAGCAAGCCTGCAGAAGACAAAACCACCCCAAAGCCTGAGGCTAAAGAAAGAAGTGCGTCTGCCAAGGAGGCGAAGGAGGAGAAGCCCGCTGCTCCAAAAGCAGAGAAGGCAGAACCTGAAGTAAAGCTTGCCTCTAAGGTAGAACCAGAGAAAAAAGAGAACAAGGCTGGAGAGAAGGAGTCTGAGAAGCCAGCACCTAAAGCTGAGCCTGAAAAGGCAGAGACAAAAAAAAAAAAGGAAAACAGATCTGCAAAACTATCTCCTGAAAAAACAGACACGAAAAAAGAGGAGAAACCCATTCCCAAAGCTGAGCCTGAAAAAACAGAGGTGAAAAAGGAGGAAAAGCCTGCTCCTAAAGCTGAGTCTGACAAAGCAGAGAGCAAAAAAGATGACAAGAAGACAGAGGAGAAAAAGGACACGAGTAAAGAAGAGAGCAAGGCGGTGAAGGATGCAGGAAAGGCAGAAAAATCTTCTGGCATCAAAGGAGACACAGGAGGAGAAGACCAAGAAGTAAAAGTAAGAAGCTGTGGTGGAGATACCAAAGAACTTCTGAGGGTGGGCAGGGTAGAGACAGTAGAGACACTGTAGTGTTTCAATAATGCAGGTAATGGTATGTAAGCAATAGTGCTTTCTGTAGCAAATAATCCCCCGCTGCCCATGTATGACCATGACTCCCCCTGTCATGTCTCTGTTTCCGTGTTTTCCTGTTGTCCTTATGGGGTAATCTTTGGGATCACACTCACCTGTTGGTAATTAGCTTCACTTGTGTCACCTGGTGTTCCCTGTGTATATATACCCCTCTCCCTCACTCTGTCGGGGTGGGATCATGTGTGATAGTGTGTGACTGTGTTAGATCTTCGTGAGTTTCCTACTCTGTGTTTCCTCGTGTTCCGTGTTCCTGTGTTTCCTTGTGTTCCGAAGAGAATTCCATGCCTGCCTGTTCTCCGTGTTCTGTTCATTTGGACTTTGTAAATAAAACTTCCTGCACCAGAAAGAGTCTCTCCAGTACTGCATTTGGGTCCTGCCTGCTTCCTGCGATGCCCGCACATGACACCCCCTGATGCTTCTGATGTAACTGTAGTGAATGCTGAATGCTCTAAGCTCCTCATCTGAATGTGATGAATGCCCTTAACAAAAAACAAGTGTATTTACACTAGAAACTCACTGACAGGGACTGCAGGGGTCGCTGTACCACATCTTCTACAGTTGAATGAGATGTAAAAAGTCATGTCAAGTTTAAGTTTGTGACAGATGTTGAATATTTTAAAATAAGTATATTTAAAGAGATACAAATGTCTATATTATATTTACAGATACATTTCACTGCAGAAAGACTTGAATTTGCTTGTTGTGCACCTTAACGCAGCTGCTCCCACCAGGTAAACTGCATTGTCTCACTCCTCTGGTCTGCAATGCTATGACAATGATGACTGTACTATGTATAAACTGCTGAGAATATGCAATATGAAACAGTTAATAAAGGAGGGAAAATGAAAACCTATTTTTTCCTGTGGGTTTTCTTTGATGATCAGAACTATAATGCATGTGGTGGCAAATGGATAAACTGTCAACAGATGATCTGACAGAATGTGAAGCTGAAAAGTAAATGCTGTGAGTGCACAGCATTGCGGTGAAGGAGAGGGGGAGCTCTTCCCACCCATAGCAGCCTCTGCATTATCAGGGTCCCACAGACCGTGTCCATGTCAGCAGCCGTGCTCTGTGCCTGCATGCAATGCTAAAAGATCACATGCTACAGGATTATACACATTTTAATGAAAACCTGACACTACTGTGTAAGTTAAAGGGTTTAACCTTCAATCTATAATCTACCATCAGGTCTAGAACTAGTCAGTGTCAGATCCAATGTACCACATTCCTAGTTGTGCTTTACACTGTCAAAAGTCATGCAATATGTATAATATAATAATAATATAAAACTAATTTGGTCCCTTACTCCCACCTCTAAAACAACTAAAGTGAAGTATTTGCTTGCTACAACTCCGCTGTTCACAACAAACGTAAAAATCTATTACACAAAAATAGCACTGCAGGGTGTGGCTCATATACAGCACATCTAGAGTTTATTGATGTCATTCAGTCCTATACTCACTGTGGCTTGACTTTCATGAGAAAGTGTATTTTAGACATGAGACACCCAGTGATGTAATAGTAAGAGGATGAAATACTTCATGCTGTGAACCACTGACAAAGTCAAAGGGCTGATATAGGGATGATTCAGTTAATTTTCTGGCCTTAAGCATAATTTTTCCAGAGACTCGATTCAACGAGTCACAAACTTCTTTAATAGACTTCTAAATAACCAACTGCTGTCATCAGGACTATAGATAATCAGTTAAAGGTCAACTGACAAAACAGCAAATGTCATATCTATCAGACATGACTCTGTGAACATGACTCAGCTCAGAGCCAGCACTGAACTACAACAGCATAACAATCAGCCTATTGCAGACGACACCTATAAATATAGCAGCAGTGAGAAGGCAGACAGGAGGACAGAGCTTTTACAACAACAACAACTAGAGAGTTTTTTTTCTGATTGGTACAAAGAATTAGGTTGTGTGTGAAAATCACAAAGCTAGGCTTAAGTAGAGTGGGAGAGTAAGCAGTGAGGCTCCAAGGCTTAGCGATGACTGAAGAATCCCTGAGGATGGCTGTACTTGACGATTTGGACCTCTGGAATTAAAAAAAAAGAGACAACAACTACCATCAGTGTTTGATCATCAACACCATGTAAGTTGTATTAGAACAAATTATTTCCTTGATTAATTAGTGGTTAATGGTTGTTAGCCTCTGCTATATTTCCATGCGTTCCTTATAGGCCGTAAGGTGAACCACAAAAAGTCCTTTAGAAATTGAATTCTGCTCTGACGTCTGGGAACTACACGATCTCAACTTCATAAATAAGAACGAGTTACGTTAAACTTACAGCGAAAAGTTCCTCGCAAAATATCCTGTCCGGTTTTTTACATCGTTGCATTTTATAAAGAACTAGCATCTTATGGGTATGGGGTGCAATAAGATTTTGGTGCGTGAGCGGTGGCACGGTTTGACACGTGATCGTGCTAGACCAATCAAGCAGCTGATTGATGTCAACACTTCCGGCAACACGGCTTCCTCCGTGGTTCGATTTAACGTTACTGATAGAGAGTAATTCTCCCAAAAGTCTTCTAAAGTGGGCCAAATGGATTCTAAACAGTGCTTTATACATAGCTGCCTGCACGAAGAACAATGAGGCAAAGAGACAATAAGGTGAACTTTCTCTGTTAAGTCATTTTGATCAATAAAAGGAAGTAATCAATGACAAGGACCATTTTTGTTGCTCCTAACTAAATACAACAACGATCAATCATAATAAACTTAAAAATATATAAAACAATACAAAACAGCATAAGAAAATTAATGGTAATATTAACCATGCAACCACTACAATACAACTCTGAGGCTACACATGAAATGTTAGTTTTCACTGTCAGTGTCAGGGCAGTTGTCATCCTCCTTCTCTTCGATTTCATGTTTGTTTGCACAGTGGCAACACCTACACAGGTCTGTACAACAGAGTCCTGCAAAGACACATAACACACTGTCAGGGGCCGGATTTCATGTCATCCATGTACCATGTAGATTTCCATCATCTAGGTGCCAACCATATCCAGCAGGTGATGGAGCACCTATATTTTGTTTGATGCAGGACCTCATGACTGCAGCCTGAATTTGCCCTTTTGCAGTGCTGATGGAGGGCATCACTTGTGGGGGGAATAGACAATTCTGGCGAGGCTGATGATGCCATACAGAAAGTCTTGTACCTAGCCTCATTGACATTTTCAGCAGCTGGCTGATCATACAGGTTGCATACATATTTGCAAAGTAGTGCAAATGTTGAGTGGTCCAAGTTAAAGTTAGCACCCAGATTTTTAAAACCCTTAAGGTACTCTTCCCGCTCACTTGCCACAGAAAATGTCTTTCTTTTGCTTTTACCATAAAGGTACTTGTGGAGTTACTGCATGGTAAATTTGTCTGCATACTTACAGCAATGACTCCCACATCAGTGTCAGGGCTCTTAATGATGACAGTTGCATGCTTTTTTGTGAATACATAAACACCCTTGACTCACATTCTTCATGATCACACCGCAGGTCTTCAACAGCATGAACAGATTGTACATCTGATTGTACGACTCAGTTGTACAGACCTGTGTAGGTGTTGCCACTTTGCAAACAAACATGAAATCGAGGAGGAGGAGGATGACAACTGCCCTGACACTGATAGTGAAGACTAACATTTCATGTGTAGCCTCAGA